AAGAAACCTAGAGGGCTGGGAAGGTGGCTCAGTGGTAGAGCGCTTGCCTTGCATGCATGAGGCCCTGGGTTCGATTCCTCAGCACCACATAAGCAAAAAGAAAAAAGCCGGAAGTGGTGCTATGGCTCAAGTGGTAGAGCACTAGCCTTGAGCTGAAGAGCTGAGGGACAGCACCCAGGCCCAGAGTTCAGCCCCACGACGGGAACCAAAAAAAAAAAAAAAAAAGAAACTTGGAGACTATACCCTCAAGCTCCTAGGGCTGATAAATAACTTAACAAAGGAGGATATAAAATCAACCAATGAGTATCAGTGGCTTTTCTGTATACCAACAAGAAGATAGGGAAAGCAAGAAAGCCTTAAAAAATAAAATATCTAGGAATAAACCAAAACAAGAAAATGAAGGCCCTCTATAATGAAAACTATAAAACCTTGAAGGAAAAAATTGAAGACATCAGGAAGTAGAAAAACTGCCTATGTTCTAGAATGTGAAGATTTAATACCATGAAAATGGTCATACTTCCAAAGGCAATCTACAAATTTGAAGCTACATCTATCAAAATCCCAATGTCATTCTTTATAGAGTTAGAGAAAACAACCAAAAATTCATATGGAACCATAAAAAACCCTGGATTGCCAAAGCAATCCTGGGGGCGAGGTGGTGGGGGGATAGAATAGTAATAATAATGCTGTAGGCATCACAATTCCAGATTTATTACAGACTTCGAGTAACAAAAATAGCTTGGTACTGGAACAAAAATAGGCCTGAAGACCAATGAAATAGACTATAAGACCTAGAAATAAACCTACATACCAATAGTCATCTGATATTTGATGAGAGCCAAAAACATATGTTGGAAAAAACAGCCTTCTCAACAAATGGTGTTGAGAAATTGGACATCCATATGCAGAATATTGAAACTGTATCCTTATCACCTTGTGCTAATATTATTTCAAAATGGGTTGAAGATTTCAATGTAAGACCTGAAACCTTGAAACTACTTCAGGAAGGAGTAAGAGAAACAGAAATTATTTGGCATAGGCTGAACTTCCTGAGAATTCCAGCTCAACAAATGGGTATGGAATTCATCAAGGTAAAAGTTTCTGCACAGCAAAGAACATAGTTACTAAGCTAAAAAGACTACAGAATAGGATATCTTTCCCAGCTTTCAATGCAACAAAGGCCTAAGTATCCAGAATATACAAGGAGATAAAGAAACTAAACCCTTAACAAATCAATAAACAATAGATTTGAGCAAAGGAGCTAAATAGAGACTTCTCAGAAGTAGTAAAAATGGCCAATAATACAAGAAGAAATGCTCAACATCTCTTATCATAAACAACAACAAGAATCCATCTCACCCAGTAAGAATGGCCATCATCAAGAACACAAACAAACATTGTTGCTGGTAGTGGTAGGGATGCGAGGAAAATAAACCCTATTACATTGTTGTTGGGAATGTAAATTAGTGCAGCCACTATGGAAAGCAGTCTGGATACTCCTTAAAAAACTATAAATATAAAACTACAGATTTTTAAAAATAAAGCTACCCTATGCTCCATCAATACCACTCTTAGGCAATTATCCAAAAGATTACAAGTCAGGATACAATAAAGACAACTTGCATCCATGTTTTACTACACTATTCACCATAGCCAAGTTATAAAAACAGACCAGATATCCTACAATGGATGAATCAAGAAAATGTGGTGTAATGTTTAATATATGTACATCTGAAACACCATGGGGCAGCTTCTTGCAACTAATACATACTGAAAACAAATGTAAGGAAACTGAGGCAGGCATCATTGAGGGTAGTAGTGCCACTGGCAGGAAGGAAAGCTAAGGAAGATGAAAGAGGATGAATATGGTAGAAAATTTGTTTATATATATATGAAAATAGAACAATAAGTTTGTAATACTAGCTACTCAAGAAGGTGAGATCTAAGGATCGGTTCAAAGCCAGTCAAGGAATAAAAGTGTGTAAAACTCTCATCTCTAATTGACCATCACAAGCCAGAAGTGGAATTGCGACTCAAGTGGTAGTGCTAGCCTTGGATGAAAAAGCTAAGAGACAAAACCTAGGCCCTGAGTCCAAGCTCCAGTACTCATACTGGATTAATCAATAATAATAAATAAAAACAATGAAACCTACTGAAAATTCTGGGAACTGGGGAGTAGGATAAAAGGCAGTGATAGAGGAGGGGAGTTGATACAATGTATTCATGTTTGGAATTGTTACAAAGGAACCCTTGCTTGCTTATAAAGAAAAATTTTCCTCACCTTTTCTAGTATGTTACAGAATGAAATAAAATTCAGTCATAAATTTAAATGAAAACAAAAGACTTCTTAGGACTATTCTTAAAATTAAATTAATAACATATAATGCTCAGCGTGAGTAGCACAAATTAAGCACTTCATATTGCATTTATGGTGCTTATCTTTCTTGAAGCGCTTCAAATCAACCTTGTAAAAAGATCAGTTTTTGTTGTTGGGGTTGGTAGGGTATATGTTTGGCTTGATTTCTGGTAGTTTGTGGATTTTGTTTGAACTCAGGACTGCATTTGCTTGACAGGCACTTTTATCACTTAAACCATGCCAAAGACCTTTATTGCTTGGAAAGTGGCTCAAACTTTTTGCTTGAGGCAGGCCTTAGACTGTGATTTTCCTACCTATGCCTCCCAAGCCACCAGGCTGGCCCAAGGGTTTTAAAATCTATTTGAGAAATCTAAAAAGACAGATGGGAAGAAGCATAATTGAATAGACTGGCAAATTTGATGAAAAGGAAAAATTTTGTTGTTGTTGATGATCATGGGGCTTGAACTCTGGACCTGGGCACTGTCCCTAAACTCTTCAGCCCAAGGCTAGCACTCTACCACTTGAGCCACAGCACCACTTCTGGCTTTTTCTGCTTATGTGGTGCTGAGGAATTGAACCCCGGGCCTCATGCATGCAAGGCAAGCACTCTACCACTGAGCCACCTTCCCAGCCCAAGAAAGGAAATCGTTATATATTTATCTTGTAGGTCTACAAAGTAACTGAGCTTCCACAAAGATACTCCATAAAGGCTTTTTTAAAAAAACAAAACAAAAATCATGAAAGTTATTCACTTAAAACTATTACCTACAAGAAAATTGAAAATACACATTTCACTTTCACAAGTTAGAAAATATACACAGAAAAGGAAGACGACAACCAAAGTGGGCACTACCACAGGAGTACTAGTGACTTTCAAAACTTACCTCCCATGTCTCAGCAGCCACCTGTTACAGCCCTCGTTTGGAACTTTGTCTGTAAGACTTCAGAACCCTTTCATTTCAAAAATTCAAAATCTTCAGAGCTATCCGTAAAGGAACAAATGGAAAATATGGTCCTCCCTGCCCCAAGAATAAGGTGAATCAATGGACTTACTTTTTTCTTTTTAAAAATTTCTCCAAGTTATTGCCTATCAGCTTATTGCAACATCTCAATCTTCTGGTTCGGAAGCTGATCAATTTTATAGAAAACAAAAGCCACACCCTAATAATTTGCTCAACTCTGCACAGTGCTTGGCATCTGTGCCAAGTACATTTCCAAAGAGGCAGAGAGAGCTACATATATCATGTAAGATTATAGATCAAACAACAGTACAAAACCAACTGCCCAAAAGTTGTTTTGATGGGAGGGGGGCATGGAGATGGGGGTATTAGCATTAAACACATCTATCTTTCTTAATAAGTGTTTATCACGCAGTGCAATTCATCAAGGCTACCAGACTACATTACAGAGTAATTTACAAAATAATAATAATGAACCTACAAAATACAGAATAATTTTTTTAAATTACAATTTGTTTTCTATGATGCCTTGAAAAGAAGTTATATGCACGAAGGCACATCGCAGCTATTGTCCAATCATTGGCAGCATTAAAATTATATTTTAATCCAATTTCTGGGAAGTTCTGGAGCAGCAGTTTAAAAAGCAACCCAAATTTTAATGGGGGGAAATATATAGTCAAAAACCTGAAAATACACATTGGAGGTATTTGCAGTTAATTTTAAAAAAACTAAGAAGAAAAAATTGTATCTGAAATTAAAGATTTAAAATAGTGTAAAATGTAATGTGACACAGGTTTTAAAACTCACTTTAAAGTATTTTTAAGCTCTATGTTTCCACTAACAAAGCAAAAGATTCGAGACAAGGATCGTCATACACACACACACACACACACACACACACACACACACACACACACACATTTGTAAATTAAGAACCAACTGTAAATTAGAACACTAAAAAATCATCTAAAAGTAGCTAAAACAGACTGTTTGAAATACCAGACTTGTTCTCACATTCAATTGTCAGATATATTGGTAACGCTTTTCGGGCATGGGTATTCTTTTCAACACAAGATTGTTCAATATGCCATTCCGTGTGAACCGAGCTTACAGACTAAGATCTCCTCAGAAGAGGCTTAATTACAGCTCTACCTCCAATTTCCTTCTACTCAAAGAGCAACATACAGAAAATAGTTCGTTCACGTAGGGAGAAGAATGAGGGTACAGGGAGTGCCCATTCTTTTGTTTTGGTGGCAGAAGCAGCAAAAATAAAGGTTCACTGGAGCCCACCTGCACCTATCCCCACCCATTACAGCCCTGCAGAACACCTTAGCCCACCCGTTCCCCTACGCTTAGATCGTGAGATCCGTGGAACCCGAGGCTTTCCACATCTCAAAGATGGTCCGGGAAGGCTGTGCGCTCTAGGGTCTTGAGAAAAACGAGGGAGGGCACAAATCCATTTCCAGTATAGCTAGGGCGGATGGGACGCGCCCTGGAAACCCAGGCGGCTTCCAGGAGCAGAGCCCTGAGGGGCAGACGGAGGATCGTGCCTAAGCAAAGACCGAGACAGAGCGACCGGGCCAGACAGACACACACCGGAGGGCGTGAACCAGGCAGCCTTGAACTCGGACCTCAAAATGCACTGAGACAGCCCCATCAACCCGCACCGCGCAGCTGAGACTTACGGTGACTTCTTCAGCCGAGGGCAAGGGTCGGGGGGACCCCGCCGGTCTGCAGTTCCGCCTCTCCCCCGAGCCGGTGACCTCAGGTTCCCTCCCCGCCCCACCCACCCTGACGGACGCCCCTTCCTCGCCGGTCCGGGTGCACGGACGGCCCGTGCGGAGGCTGCAGGCTGGGGCCGAGGGCGCGCACTAGAGGCCCGTGCGAAGCCCGGCGCGAGCCGAAGACGCGTGGCGAGGCTCAGAACCGGCGGGCGCCCCCCATCCTTCGCGGGCCGTCGCACCGCCTTTCTCCGGGGAGGGGAAGAGGGGGCGGTGGCTCTAGCCTCCGCCTCGCGGTCAAGTCCAGCTCATGCTCGAGCCCGGAGCGCGCGCGCGCGCGCGCAGCCCCGCCGCCCTCCTCCCCTCCCCTGCCTCGGACTGTGTCGCGGACGCTCCCGCCGCCACCGCCGTCTGCGAGGAGCTCGTCCAAGACCCTACAGAAGCGGCACCGCAGACGAACAGCAGCGCGGAACCCGGGCGCCTAGGCTCCTGACCCGGAAGCTCTTCCGCCGCCAACCACGGGGCTGCCGGGGGAGGAGATGAACCGGAAGCGATTTCCTTTCCCGGGTAGCGGCGGGATGGAAAGTGAAGGCCTTTGGAGAGGCGAGACCTCCTAGCTTTGGAGAAGGTGAAGGCTGACTGTTGCTGAGACGGGAGGAAGGGAGAGGAAAGGAAGAGAAAAATATTATAAAGAGTTGGTGTGCGAGAGGTTCTCCAGCTCCAGAGACCCGCGCTTTCGGGGCGCGGAGTCGGCGGCGCCGCACGCCGGGCGGCTTCTGGTGGCGACCGAGGGTCTTCCTGCCACAGGAAGTCGGGCCGGGCCGTGGCCCCGGAAAGAAGGGAAGGCGGAGTGAGGAAACTGGGGTGGCCCCCCGCCCCTTGATCACGCCCCCCCCCCCCCCCCATGAGCTGAATGTAGCGGCCTGGGAGACGGCCGGCCGGCCGCTGGGGTGAGACCGCTGGGTTTCCTTGACGGAAACGAGGAGGAGCCGTATCCAGCGACCGGACGCCGAAGTGGGAGACTGGATCCTCTCCGCATCTAGTTTCTCCAGGCAAGGAGTTTACTTTGTATCACATAGGAAACCCCCCCCCCCCCCCCGCATCACCTCTGTCTCGGGTGGGAACTCTGTAGCCAAGAAGCTTGTAATTTGCCCGGCAGTGGACATTGATGGGTGGTGCCCCTGGAGAACTCCTCCCAGGTTGACTAGTGTTGTCCTTGCGGGGAAACCGATTCCCAGCTCGTTCTGGACCACGTCCCCTTCTACATTTTTTTTCCCCTCTCCTCCTTTAAGAACCTCTTTTCTTTGCTTTTTCTCCACGATGTTGTTTAGCTGCACCAAAAGCCGTTTGTCGTGCTATTCCAACTCGGGAGTCCCGCTCAGCTCCTTTCCCACTCTTAAAAAAACATCTCACGTACTAAATGGACTTTACCCTGCCCGCGGGCACTAAAATGGCATCTGTTCATTCACTTTCCCCAAAAGCACCCCAACATATTTCCAGGTGATCCCAGATTGATTCCATTCCCAGTTGAGAATCGTTTCCACCGGTTTATTTTTAAAGCCTCATTTCTTGAGCAGCTTATTAGCATATATGCCTGAGTATTTTCTCCCAGAGAGGAAGCCATATGACCTAATGCTACATATTTTCTGAGTACAGACATTTGAACTCTTATTAAACGCTTATTGTAGACATTTCTACCTCTAGCTATATCTATTTTTTTAGCCCAAGTTTCACTTTTTCCTATGCATTTATGTTTCTGCCTTTAACAGCCTTCCTTTATATGTTAGTTTTGGGTTTTGTTCCATTTTGAGCCTTTGTTTCATTCTTTCATGTCACTGCTAGTAAAGTATGACCATTTATTGAAAAATCCTTTTTTTTTTTTTTTGTCGGTCATAGGGCCTGAAGTCTGGGCCTGCGCGCTGTCCCTCAGCTCTTCAGCTCAATGCTAGCACTCTACCACTTGAGCCATAGCGCTACTTCCGGCTTTTTCTGCTTATATGGTTCTGAGGAATCGAACCTCATCGGGCCTCATGCATGCAAGGCAAGCACTCTACCACTGAGCCACCTTTCCACCCCATTGAAAATCAATTTTAAACATCATTTGGGAGTAAGGTGTGTGACTCAAGTGGTAGAGTGCCATCCTTGAGCAAAATAATGATAGAATTCATTTGAGAGTTGTTTTAATTGAATTCATTTTTTAATGAGCATTAACAACTTTGTTAATAGATGTTTTAGCAAGAAAAATAGCAATACATTAATTGATTTGATTTAAATTCTGTTTAGAAAACCAAGAATTTCTCAGTTCTTGTTTTAGGTTCTTTGTAGAGAACATATCTATAATTGTGCCATTATACACATACAGTGTTTGCCCACTACAGTATCCTTTTTTAGAAGGCTTTCAGTATTTAAGGAGGCATCCGCATGTCTCATAATTTGTACTTTCTTTATGTTTAAGTCATTGTTAATCTGAGGTGAAAGCAGTAGCTAAAATATATATTCTGACTGTGCTGTAGATTTTTTTAAATTATGGGGAAAAAAGGAATTGAAAAAATTCCTTGAGATGTAGAACAACAATGAATAAGTTCCTCAGTACATTAAACAAAATTAAATACCTTCATCCTAAAGTTTCACTATACTTTTTCTAATAAAATACTTGCAGTTTCTTTGTATTTAAGTCATTGAAAGTTTTTAGAATTTGAAAGACTTCAAAGTTATTCAACTAGTCTATACTTAATTCTCATAGTTATTTAAAATTCCAGAAGTTACTGGATTTTAAATGGATTTCACTTTAATGAAATATACTTTAAAACTATTGTCTAAGTGAATAAAAGATGCTAGAATCTCATCAGTTACAGTTGAGAAAACAACTGCATTATTCAAACCTATTATTCAAGTGTTATTAAAAGCCCTATCTAGAAAAGTCTCTTTTGTTTCTATCCTGAGAGTTGGTGATGTAGGAACTTGTTAAATATTAACAGACCATTTTTAATGACCAATAAGATTTAAAAGAATTGAAAAAATTAATATAAATTTGTCTAGGAAAGAATTTTTTGATATTCTTTTAGAAATTACTGGTATATACCTGAGGAGAACCTTTAAAAACAATATGATGAAGGGATAGTTTTTAGACTAGCCACAAAATATTAAAACTCAGAGAACATTAAACAATCAAGAATGTGGTTAAAATTCAATTATTTGTTAGAAATTATAAACTGGAAACTTAAAATTAGTTTAGGGGAAGAATACACAGTGGGTATATTTGGAAGGAAAAGTGAATTATCTATGGATTGGACTTTTCAAATTAACAATTCTGGGGAGTTTGATTCAGAGACTCATCTTTTGTAGACAGGTACTCTTTCAATTGAGTCATAGGTCAAGTCTAGAAATGATTCTTAAATCATCATCAGAAAGGTTTTTATCAGCTGACCAAAAGTTTTTGATAGGCACTAACTAAGACAATTATAAACTATGTTAGCTGATATCTATGTTCAAAATTAGACATCCATATGTCTAAACTTACCAATATAACATTCATTTGTGTTACACATGGAAAATATGCATTATTTCTAATCACTATTTCAAGTAACGATAAGATTTTATAATCTTTTCAATTTTTAAGTCCCAAAGTCAGATTTTACAGTACAGAGCACTTGTGAAAATATGAATTTTACATGTAAGAAGAAAGAGATTAAAGGAAAATCTCAGATTTTAAGGTAATGTTTGTAATAGTTCAATGTTGAAAATACTCTCTGGCTTGCCTTTTAGGTATTGTATAAGACATTAAAATATAATTGGCTGAGTGCCGATGGCTCATGCCTGTATTTCTAACTAATAATAATGCTGAAATATGAGAATAGTGGTTTGAAGCCAGCCCAGAATGGAAAATCTGTGACACTCATAACTCCACTAAACTATCAAAAAAGCCAGAAGTGGAACTGTGGCTCAAAGTGGTAGAGTGCTAGTCTTGAGCAAAAGCAACTCAGGGACAGCACCCAGCCAGGCCTGGAGCTTAATCCCCAGGACTGGCACGAAACTAAAAAAATATGTTTTAAATCATTTTATTTTAATTGTTTTTCAAAGGATTATATGGAAATAAAGGTTATCAGATTAAGATGAAAAAAAGTACTATTAAAGTTGTTTGGTTTTTTTTTTTACTTAGCCACCAATTGTATTATTTAATCTCCCAAGGAACATTTTGTCTTAAAAAGCAATGGGAAATCCAGAAAACATAGAAGATGCATATGTTGCTGTTATTCGCCCAAAGAATGCTGCCAGTCTCAACTCTCGGGAATACAGAGCTAAGTCCTATGAAGTGAGAACATAAACTTTCTATTTGCTTTCTAATATTAAATATCATTCTACACTACCATTTACATATAGCCCTTATAATGCTATATACTAATATTGATAAGCTAGTTATGCCACATTTTTACCCATTGCTATCCTTTTTTTCTGCTGCATATCTTTTGACTATTTGCTATTTGACATTGTGGTTTATTAGATTATGACAGATTATTAGATTATGAAAGATTTTTACAGTTTATGCACTTAGATTTTTTTTATAACAGAATAATTCTCAAAAATTAAAAGCTATTAAAAACAGTACTGCAAAAATTTAATACAAATATTAATCTTAGCTATGCTTAAATTATTTTTGACAACTCATTTTAAAGTAAGTTTAGGAAATTAAGTTATATTTATCTGTAGTCTTGAATTACATATATTAGTAACCATGGAATTATATCCATTATATGCAATGGATTTTAAGCTTTATGAAATCCTTATAACCTAATTTCTCTAGCATTTTATTTAAATTGCTCTGGTTTACTGCATTAATACTCTTCTGGAGAATATTTTTAAACTGCCAGTACTAGGAACCTCCCCAAACATTCTGACTTAATAGGTGTAGAGATGGGGCTGAGTATTATTTTAAAACCTTTTAAGTTATTCTAATATGCAGCTAGTTATAAGAAGGCTGTCAGCTTATCATAGTATTATACTTCTAATGCATTTTATTTTAAACTTCCTTTAATGTTATACTTCTCATCTAAGATTTTATTGCATGAAGTTCCTATTGAAGGACAGAAGAAAAAGAGAAAGAAAGTTTTGTTGGAAACAAAACTTCAAGCCAACAGTGAAATAACACAAGGCATATTGGATTATGTAGTAGAAACCACCAAACCAATTTCTCCAGCAAACCAGGGTATCAGAGGTAGGAAAATTTCCTTTATTTTTCTTCTTTCCCTTTTTTTTCTTTTGTCAATACATCGCTTTAAATACATGTGAGGAAGCCGGGCGCCGGTGGCTCACGCCTATAATTCTAGCTACTCAGGAGGCTGAGATCTGAGGATCAGGGTTCAAAGCCAGCCCGGGCAGGAAAGTCTGTGAGACTCTTATCTCCAATAAACCACTAGAAAACCGGAACTGGCACTGTGGCTCAAGCAGTAGAGCGCTAGCCTTGAGCTGAAGAGCGCAGAGATAGCGCCCAAGCCCAGAGTTCAGGCCCCACGACCAAAAAAATAAAATACATGTGAAGAAAGGTATTTTTAAATCTTAAGGTCAATTTCTGGGGCTGGGAAGGTGGCTCAGTGGTATACTGCTTGTCTCAAATCATGAGCTGGGTTCAATTCCTCAGCACCACATAAATAGATAAAGCTAAAAGTGGCACTGTGGCTCAAGTAGTAGAGCACTAACCTTGAGCTGAAGAGCTCAGGGACAGTGCACAGGTCCAGAGTTCGAACCCCACAATGGACAAAAAAAAAAAAGAAAGAAAAGGTCCATTTCCTTTTAGGTTACTTTATATTTTTGAAAGTTGCCAAAAGACTCAGAACATTTCTAAGCTATAGTCAAAGCTCTATTATTGAAAAAAGTAACTTGATTACAGTATTTTCATTCTTATTTTTGTATTTATTTTATTATAGTATTTATTAACACATATTAAATATATAAAATAATACGTTTGGTTATATTCTTGTCTCAACAAAATAAATGAAAGTTGATTTTTTTTTTTAATCATTGCTGATTTTTTGTTAATGATTAGGAAAACGAGTGGTACTAATGAAGAGATTTCCTTTAGATGGAGAGAAGATGGGCAGAGAAGCAGCATTATTTATAGTTCCATCAGTTGTCAAAGGTAAAGTCTAAATTTTTTTGTAAGTTTTTATGTACATAAGATGTAATTGAAAGTCTATTGGGGAACTTAGAAATTTGCATTTATAGTTACTATACTAGTATTGTAAAATACATGGTTTTACTTTAATAGAAGAGTTTGTTACTTATCCAAAATATTTCAGTTTTACTGTAATGTGTAGGCATGTTAGCTGAACAGAAATGTTTTCATTTTAAAACAGGATGCAGAAATGAGGGTGAAAATAATTGTTGAAATTTAAAATATTCAGGTTTTCTTAAAAGACTTGTCAAAGGATGTGCTATAGATAGAACAGAAATAAATACTTAAGTATTCTAGAAAAACAACATTATGACTAAAGCCTATGTTAGATTGGAGAGGAGAAAATGTCAATAGTTTCTAAAGCCTCCCAGCCAGTAGTTTTGTAGGCAATACTTATTGACCATAGATCTACTATGAAAGTCTAATTTGAGCTTTGGGCATCCTTAAAAATAGAAAACATTTGGTGTTTCAGTGCGGACCTTATGGCTCATTTTGTGACTTTGCAAGACAGGTGCCAGTGGCTCATGCCTGTAATCCTAGTTAGTCAGGAGGCTGAGATCTGAGGATCACAATTCAAGGTCAGTTTAGGCAGGAAAGTCCATAAGACTCTTATCTCCAATTAACCAGCAAAAACAGCTGGATGTAGCACTGTGGCTCAAGTAGCAGTGCAACAATCTTGAGCAAATAAGCTAAGGGACAGTGTGCAGGCTATGAGCTTAAGCCCCAGTATTGGCACAAAAAAAAAATTGACATTGTACAAATTATTCCTTAGTTTACACTTCGTTTGTAAAATAGAAATAATATTGCTATCTACCCATACTTTATTGATATTCAGGAAGAATTTATTGAGGTGTTGAATGTCAAATCACTAAAATCTAAACATTACTTGCCTCAGGTAAGATGAAATGTTAATAACCCACCACAGATAATTCCATTGGCCTGCTGTATCACAGTACTTGTATTTAACTAGACAGTGTTTAATTAGCCAGCTCTGTATTCCAAATACATTTTCCCAAGCATTCTCAAATTAAAGGTTGAGCATTTTAAATAGTGGTGGAAATATTACTATGTTTTACAACATTGTTGAAGAAGAGAAAGCAAGATCTCTGGGGGGGGGGGGAGGGGAGGAATGTGCGCATGCACTAGTCCTCAGGCTTGAACTCAGGACCTGTGTGCTGTCCCTGAGCTGTTTTGCTGAAGGGTAGTGTTCTAACCACTTGAACCACAGCTCCACTTTTGGCATTTGTTTTTTCCTGTACAGGCTGGTTTCATACCTGGATCCTAAGATCTCAGCCTCCTGAGTAGTAGAATTACAGGCATAAGCCACAAGCACCTGGCTCTACAAGATTTGTTTTTTAAACTGCACTTTGGTTTTTTGTTTTTTGGTTTTTTTGGGTCCGGTTGTGGGGCCTGAACTCTGGTTCTGGGCGCTATCCCTCAGCTCTTCAGCTCAAGGCTAGTGCTCTACCACTTGAGCCACAGCGCCACTTCCACCTTTTTTCTTTTTGCTTATGTGGTGCTGAGGAATTGAACCCAGGGCCTCATGCATTGCAAGACAAGGCTCTACCACTGAGCCATCTTCCCAGCCCCTTAAACTGCATTTTTAAATGAAAATGTTGTTATAAGCTTTTTATATGTTGGCATCATTCTTCACTTTTTCTTTTTCAGATAATACTAAGTATACATACACACCAGGATGCCCAATTTTTTACTGCTTACAAGATATTATGAGAGTGTGTAGTGAGTCCAGTACTCACTTTGCAACACTTACAGCAAGGATGCTAATAGCCTTGGACAAGTAAGAATTACTATTATTTTTTTATTCATCAGATATATCTTCAGAGGGAGGATTAGTTTGATAGACAGACATTTTTGAAAGAAAGTAATGAAAATACATACTTTACTGACAAATGGTAAGTTTTTCAATTATATAAAAATGGAAAACCCTAAGAGAGACCTGTCTGGTCCACTTATATCATGTTAACTCTGTCCTTTAAGAGTAACAACACTGCCCTGGCTTACAAATTAAGATTCTTTTGTTATAAACCTAGTTTAAGTACTCAGTGATAAGTCACTTAACCTCTCTTGCCTTTATTTTTCTGTAACAATAGGATTAATATCACTACATTTCAGTGGTTTAAATTTTAAAAGTACTTTGTATTTTTAAGGAAGTTTTTTATGACAATAGTATACATACATTTTAGAAAAATTGCTTGCTAGGTCACTTGACAGAACTGTTAACAAATAAACACTAATTAAAATTATAAAAATTTGAATATAATCTTAGAAAGTATCACTTATCTGAGTAAGTCTGGTTTTTTTGTTTGTTTTTTCATCTTCATTTTTGAGCAGGCATTTCTACTTCCTTTTTTCCTATTTGTGCCAGGTGGTTGGATGAACGTCACGCACAATCTCACTTTATTCCAGCTTTATTCCGACCTTCTCCCCTTGAGCGGATAAAAACTAATGTTATAAACCCTGCATATGCTACTGAATCAGGTCAAACAGAAAACTCACTACATATGGGCTATAGTGCACTGGAAATAAAGAGTAAAATGTTAGCACTAGAGAAAGCAGATACTTGTGTTTACAACCCTTTATTTGGATCAGATCTTCAGTATACAAATCGGGTAAGAGTTGTATTTTGGTTCTGGTTTCAAAAGACATTACAATTTAATTGTAATTTTTTTCCCTGAGATAAATACATGAATTATTGTAAACATTAAGGTAATATCCAGGCTCCATTTACATACATATATGTGTGTGCGCACACACACATCAAAAGTTTAAAACTCTTAAATGGTTTTCGTTTCTATTTCATTTTCCCTTTCTAGGTAGATAAAGTGGTAATAAATCCATACTTTGGCCTTGGAGCTCCAGACTACTCAAAAATACAAATACCCAAACAGGAAAAGTGGCAGAGAAGCATGAGCAGTGTCACAGAAGACAAGTACTGTTTGGTTTTACTATATATTGCCTTTTTAAAAATACATTGTAATGTTAAAATGTTTGAAATTAAATGTGTAGTAAGTATACAGTCTAATCACTATCTTATGAGTGGCTTAGATTTTGTAGCTTTCACAGATATATCATATTCACTTTGAAACAATTTGAATTTCAACAGTGTTTCTGTTTTTTAATTTCTTTTTAATGATTAGAGAACGACAATGGGTAGATGATTTTCCTCTCCATCGAAGTGCCTGTGAAGGAGATTCAGAATTACTAAGTCGTCTTCTTAATGAGAGATTTTCGGTCAACCAATTAGACAGTGACCACTGGGCACCTATTCATTATGCATGCTGGTAAATAGATTACTTTTTCTTTATATACAAAATAAATTTTCAGCTATTGAATATTAGTGTTTATCACACACACATACAAAATAAAAATCAACTGTTCTCATGCCAGACACTTTCAGTGTTCAAATTCTGAGCCTTCTATGATCTTATTACTGTGTATATGCCACTGTTTATAATTACAAGTTCTGCCCTGCAAGTATTCTTAGCTATTGTCAAGTCATGAGTAACATAATGACTAGTCAATGCCATTATTGTTGTTTTGTATGGAGATTATTTTATCCTTAACTATAAAACATTTACATGTGTTAATTACTTTTGGTTTGATCTTGGTATCATATTTAAAAAGTATTATTTGAGTTCTTTGGGATGCTGTGGTATCAAGAAACCTCCAAAAGCCTTCTTAAGATCAATCCTCCATCTTTTTAGATATTAGGGTTGGAACAAAATTGAGATGAACTTTTTCGACTAGTTGCCCAGTAGTTCTTGTTCAACTACTCTTCTCATATAATAGTAAAGTTTCTTAGATGAATTGATTTCTTAGCCATGGCAGTAATTAACTGAATACTATAGCTCTTTTGTCTCAAAAGGACATCATCCTCTTTTACAATTTTTTTGCATGTTTCAGAAGTACTATATAATTTTCTTAGGTATTGACTGTATCACACTGAGAAAAGAACTTTACTTTTCTGCATCTGTGTTTATTTACTCCTATTTAAAATTCATTAAGACTGCAGTGTAGTTTAGAGAGCACTTACCTAGCATATGCTAAGATGTGTTCTATGAGCAGCAATGCAAAAAATTTTAAAAAATAGTAATATTAGGCCATTTCTAGTTATTTCCAATTCAAAATACATTTATTTCTCAGATTCTAATATTTTTAATTAAGTAGCTAAATAGTTGCTTTTAACATACATGTTTTCTTCTGTTTCCTTAATGTTTCCCATTATAGGGAATTTTTAGATTTAGATTTAAAAGCCATCAAGCCAAATGGTTTTTAGACGATCTAGTAGTTTTTTGTTCAGATTACAAATAAATACTAGTGATAGAAACAATTATAAATGAGACTGAATACATTAGAGCTAAGCACAAGAAGTGAACTATAGTTCAGCCCCCCCCCCCCCCCAAAAAATAATTACACTAGGAATATACTACATAGGTAGTATATTTTAGTTTAGGAATTCCAAATATACTTTCGGCTATATTGTTGGTGTCTTTGTAGCAGGTGGTTATATGCTCTTATAAAAGAGTGGTAATACTTTCAATTACTTATTTAAATGAAAACAAAAGTATAGTATTTAATATACATTGGAATATACCTCGCTTTCAGTCCCCATGGCTAGTTCCTTAAACTGTAACTATTGGCAAGTTTCTTAATATCTTTAAGACTTTTTGCTTATCTTCAAGATAGACTTTATTTTGGCATTACTAGGCCTAAACTCAGGGCCTGAGGGCCTAGGGCTAAGCACATGCTCTAGCCCTAGACATTTTTAGCTTTAGTTATTTTTCAGATTCAGTCCACTTTTTGCCCAGAGTTGACCTTAAACCAAGATCCTCTTACATATGCCTCCCATGTAGCTGGTATCACAGTTGCATATCACTGTAGCTTGTTGGTTGAAATGGAAGGTTCTCACTAAATTTTTGCCTACTTGGCCGTGAACCATGATCTTCCTGATCTATCTCTCTCAGATTACTGGAACTACAGGTGTGTGTCAACACATCTATCCTATATTAGCACTTGCTTCTTTTGCAAGTGACTCTCACCTATAGTCCTACCTACTACTCTAGAGGCTGAGATCTAAGGATCAAAGTTTAAAATTAGCCCAGGCAGAAAAGTTGTGTGACTCTTCTCTCCTATTAACCAGCAAGAAGTTGGAAGTGGAGGTGTAGCTCAAGTGAGAGTATTAACCTTGAGAGAAAAAGCCAAGTGAGAGTGATTTGAGCTCCAGTACTGGAACAAAAATTTTTTTTAAGTTTTTAAAAAGGATAAAATGGCACTTTCCCTAGGGGGAAAAAAATACAAATAAGATACTTTGAAAGTACATAATAAGAACTCAATAAATCTTGCCTTTTAAAACAAATACAAGGACTAGGAGATAGAGTACCAAAAAAGAAAAAGAGAAAAAATGAATTCAGGTTTTTGATGGCTAAATCTGAAATTTATTAATCTATCTTATTTTTAATTACAACTGATTGTTAGTAGAGTAAACCAAGAGAAAAGATTCTATCTCTTGATAAAAATTACTATTTTATCAGCTAGAAGAAATAGTCAAGTTTAATACACAAATAGTAGTATGGATCAGAAAGATTTGCTAAAATCTTACTTTTGGAAATGTACTCATTCACTAATTGGTACCAAGATTGAGTAAAGTATACCGGACCATCTCAGTTTAGAAACTGAGGTTTGTTCTTATCTTTATAAAGTTAGGAAATACGTTTTATATAAACTTCTTGATCTCAGATTTAAGAACTTTAGAGTTTTAGTCTCATGAGCCCTTCCCCTTTTAATATCACAAAGAGATTTTGTTCTTGTGGAATATATCTAGTATTATTTGCCATATTTTTGTATTATACTAAATCATACCACATTATGTAACTTACAGGTGTTTGTGTCTCGTGTCTCTGATTATGTTGTAACTCCTTCAGAGCCACAGGTCTTTATATATAGATTTTTAAGTATTCTACATTGCCTAATTGAAGCTAAAAGTAGAATTATCTTCGGGCTTAGTTTGTACATCATTTGGATGTGGTAGGTTTCTCATTCATGCTGTGTCTATCACTAATCCACACCCTTTGAATCTATTTTATTTTACTAAAAATTCTAACTCCATAACTATTGTACTTTGTATGGGTATTTCTATGCTATTTATTTTCTCCTATTTGAGGTTTTTTTCTCAGTTGATTTGAATAGAAACAGTTGACTTGAGCAAGAATAATATATGTTTGAATATATATTATTTATGTCAATATCTTAGTCTTATGTGTTTATATTTCTTTGAGGGATCATTTAAATTTTGAAATTTTTAAGTATTTCAGATGCCATTTTTTAGGTAAGTCTTATTTTTTTATAGGTATGGAAAAGTTGAAGCCACTCGCATATTACTAGAGAAAGGAAAGTGCAATCCAAACCTGTTAAATGGACAGCTAAGTTCTCCTCTTCACTTTGCTGCTGGAGGAGGACATGCTGAAATAGTTCAGATTCTCCTAAACCATCCAGAAGTTGACAGAGTAAGTTATTTTATAAATTCATTTTGCTTTGCTAATGTTTAAGCATTGACTAATAAGTAATGATACTAAAGTGTTGAATTGTACAATTGAGTGTTAAGCTGAAAAAAAATGACAAGTTCACTTTATAGAATGAGTAATATTTGTGTATAAGCTGCACTTTTCAAAATCCTTCTTATTGTAATAAAATAAAAAGTCTATTCACATTATTGTGCAATCATTACCATCATCCCTGTTGAGAATCTAGATAAAATTCATTTAAGTTTTTAAAAAAGAAAGACTTTATATCTGTTTTCTAGAGTTTGTACTAACAATTTCATAAAGGGAAAATTAAGCCATTAACAAAATCTTTGTCACATCTATTCAGAATGTTCAAAGATAATACCACTGATCCATGCCTTGAGTCTTTTCTATATGGCAGTTCTTAGTATTTACTTACTATTTAACAAGAATTACTAAGTACTTAACATTTTTGCTTAGATATTAAGATAGAAGTAATAATTAGAAGAAACTCAGAGGGCTAAGTGATGGAGTGCTAGCCTAGTGAGCACAAGGTTTGGAATACCATGTATTTGAGATGTCTTTCTCTCTCCATCTACCCCCATTTCTAGCACATAACAGACCAACAAGGAAGATCCCCATTAAATATTTGTGAAGAAAACAAACAAAATAATTGGGAAGAAGCAGCCAAATTATTGAAGGAAGCCATTAACAAACCAGTAAGCATTATCTTCATAAATAGTTACAGTTATAGGTAATTTGAGGATCTCTGTAAGAGTGAAAGGAGCAATGGGGAGATGGCTTCTGTACTAATATAACGACTCATTGTCAGAATATATGTCTGTTGGAGTTGTAGCATTCCTGATATTCAGACATTTATATTGCATAATGAAATAAAATTTGAAAAGATAAGAAAAGGGTAAGAAAACTTTTAGTATACTGACAACTAATTTCGGGTCTGGGATATACCCATGTATCACTTAACTCCAGGGATATATTTTGATAAATGCTTCATTAGGCAATTTCATCATTGTGCAAACATCATAGAGTATATTTACATATGCCAAACAACATAGACTATTATATGGGGCTGGGAAGGTAGCTCAGTGGTAGAGCGCTTGCCTTGCATGCATGAGGCCCTGGATTCGATTCTTCAGCACCACATAAGCAAAAAGAAAAAAGCCAGAAGTGGTGCTGTGGATCAAGTAGTAGAGCTGAAGAGCTGAGGGACAGTGCCCAGGCCCAGAGTTCAGGCCCCATGACCGGACCCAAAAAAAAAAAAAAAAACACAAAAACAACATAGACTATTATAACATGCCTAGGCCATATGGTATGATATGCTATCAAATATGTGGTGTCATTATATATGTAATTTTCTCATAGCCCAAAATGTTAGTAGACAACTTGACTGTACTTGATATATTGTACACAAATAATTCTGATATTTTAGTTGAAGTAAATCCTACTTAGGAGGCTGGGAAGTTGGCCCAGTGGTAGAGCGCTTGCCTTGCATGCCTGAGGCCCTGGGTTCGATTCCTCAGCACCATATAAGAAAAAAGCCGGAAGTGGTGCTGTGGCTCAAGTGGAAGAGCGCTAGCCTTGAGCTGAAGAGCTGAGGGACAGTGCCCAAGCCCAGAGTTCAGTCCCCACGACCGACATGCACATACATATACACATACACACACACACACACACACACACAGAGTAAAATTTAAGTGACAACATGACTTTAAGATAGAGAAGTGACAATGAGAAGAAATTCAGAGGGCTGGGAATGTGATAACATGATAGAGTGCTAGCCTAGTGAGTACTAGGCTACCACCAAAAATAAAAGATGGAAAAATTTTTGTCATCAAATAAATTATGAAAATTTCATAGATTTAATTCATGTGCCTAAGCCTTTTAACATAAACTATTGACTATATGGTAGTTTAACAACATTAAATGTTGAAAATGACTATATTTATATCTGTATCTATTATCTATAGATATCTGTAGACATAGATATCATATATCTATCAGTTGATAGACTGTTACACCTGGCACATTCAGTAGTTTTTTCTTTTGTTTTGCTTTGTTTTTGTAGGTCATGGGGCTTGAACTCTGGGTCTGGGCACTGTCCCTGAGCTCTTCAGCTCAAGGCTAGCGCTCTACCACTTGAGCCACAGTGCCACTTCTGGCATTTTTTGTTTATGTGGTGCTGAGGAATTGAACCCAGGGCCTCATGCATGCAAAGGGAGCACTCTACCACTGAGCCACCTTCCCAGCCCAGCATTCAGTAGTTTTAATAAAGCCATTTTTCTTATTTCACAAACTTGTTTCACTATAGAACATTCAGACGAAACTAAGAAAATATAATAGTAGATGCTTGTGAAGAGCTTTTCAAATAGAGTCAAGTTCTCACTTGAAGCAATTTTCTATGTTAAAGATTTATGCGATAACTGGGTACCAGTAGCTCATAACTGTAATCTTGGCTACTCAGGAAGCTGAGATCTGAGGATCATGGTTCAAAGCCAGCTGGGGCAAGAAAGTCTGTAACTCTTAACTCCAATTAACCACCAGAAAACTGGAAGCAGCACTGTGGCTCAAAGTGGTAGAGCATTAGCCTTAAGCAAAAGAGCTCAGGGCTAGCACCCAGGCCCCAAATTCAAACCTTATGACCGAGCAAAAAAATAAAGATTTATAATATAAAATAAGTTGAAAATATTTGTTAGATTTTGATAATGTAATTTTTAAGTTAGTTGCATAGTATCATTTTTTGTCCTAGTATGAAAAAGTTCGAATATATAGAATGGATGGATCATACCGTTCTGTTGAACTGAGGCATGGAAATAATACCACAGTGCAGCAGATAATGGAAGGAATGCGTCTATCTCAAGAAACGCAGCAGTATTTCACTATATGGATCTGTTCAGAAAACCTTAGTAAGAAAGTTTACTTTGTTATTTAAACTTAAAAGTTTAAACTTTTGGGGGAGTAGATTCATACATGTCAGTTTAACAGTCGATATTTCAAAATTGAAATAATATAGGATTCTTTTTTATATAAATTACTAGTGTTCAAACTCCTGCAAAAGGTTCTGACCTAAGACCCTCACAATTCATTCAAAGCATCTTGTGAGTTAGTAAAAAAATGAAGCTATCCTTCTCTAGCAGTGCCCTTGATTTAAATAACATTGACGGTAGTGCTCACACAACTTGTCTTTATTTTCAGTATTCATCTCAATATAATACAAGCCTTCTCTTTCTTTGCATTTGTCTTATCAAATCTTTTTGTTTAAAATCACCCTAGTATCATTATAGATTGATTCTTCCTTAAAAATACTGCAAATATATTAGAATTTAATTAGGGATGTTATTGGTTTCTAATACTTTAAATATACCTTTAACACCAGATTATACTGATTATTTCATAATTAAGCTGTAATGAAACAGAATTTCATGCACATTTGATAAATTTTATGATATAGTCTGTAACTTTATTACTTTTAAGAAGTTTTACAAAAAGGTTTCAATTCAGCTTATCAGTTTATGCATACAGTGCATCTTGGTTAATATCACCCCTTTCATAGCTCCTTCACTGAAAAAACTTCTTTATTCAGTGCTAGGGGTTAAACTCTCACACTTGCTAAGGAAGCATCCTACCATTAAGCTGTATCCACAGCCCAAGAATTGTCCTTCCTTCCTTCCCTTCCTCCCTTCCTCCCTTCCTTCCTCCCTTCCTCCCTTCCTTCCTCCCTTCTTCCCTTCCTTCCTCCCTTTCTCCCTCCCTCCCTCCCTCACCTTCCTTCCTTCCTTCCTTCCTTCCTTCCTTCCTTCCTTCCTTCCTTCCTTCCTTCCTTCCTTCCTTCCTTCCTTCCTTCCTTCCTTCCTTCCTTCCTTCCTTCTTCAGGGCCTTGCACTTGGCTGTCAGGCACTCAACCACATCGGCCATGAACAGTCTTGGACTTACCTATCTATTTATGTTTCCCTCATAGCTACAGTGGCATGCATGAACCAGTGCATTTAGCTATTCATTTAAATAGGGTCTTGTGTTTATACCTGGCTGGCTTGGATCCAGATCTTCCCATCTTCTCAATTATTTGGGTTTGCAAGTGTGAACCATAGGCACCTGGCCCATGTATTATTCTTCAAATTTTTCAAAACAAGTGGTTGCTCAGAATTTAATAATGATTAAATACTGATTTAAACTTAGACCTTTAATTTGAATCTGTTCAGTACTTAAGCATAAATAGTCCAATGCAACATACTGATATAATTGAATATTTTCACATTATCATTTATAAAAGAAAAGATGTTTTTTAGGCCTTCAGCTCAAGCCTTATCATAAACCCTTGCAACATGTTCGTGACTGGCCAGAAATACTTGCTGAATTGACTAATTTGGATCCGCAAAGAGAAACACCACAGCTTTTCCTGAGAAGAGATGTGAGACTTCCTCTAGAAGTTGAAAAAAAGGTTTGCTTGGAACTCTTTTTTTTTTTTTTCCATTTTTTTGTCATTGTGTAAAAAATTTCACAGGAAGTGAGGGAGAGAACAGAAAAATACCTTCTGAATGGAGAATATATTTGCAAAGGGAATATGAAGTGATTCTAAACAGTATGGAGCAGAGAACTACATAGTGAAAAAAAAAAGGACAGAATAATAGTTGAGAGGCTTCACAATATTACTGAAGAAAAAAAATGCTTTTCATGATTTAATCAAAGGAATTTAAGTAGGCAAGACTAAGCAAATTTCAGAACATAAAAATTTTAGCATCCAAGTCCAAACTTGATAAGAATTTTGTCTGTTTATCTTGTCTTCATTTATTTTTTTTGAAGTTTATTTATTTTTGTAATACTGGGATTGAACTCAAGACCTTGCTTGCTAATCAAACACTATAATTTGGGCTGCCTCCATCAGCCCTTGTATTTATATTGTCTTTGTATTATCAGATCAAAAGTAGCTTTGATCCTCTCAGCCAAATACATTTGGAGTTACATAAAAATTTGTATGTTTACCAAAAACTAAAGTATTGATTATTATGTGTTAGAACCATATTAACAGAATAAGACAAACACAGTCTTCTCAACTCAAAAGACATTTGGTAAAATCCAACATCCTTTCACAATAGAAACTCAAGAAACTGGGAATGGTAGGGGAACTTCCTCAGCATGTGGGTTTATGAAAAACCCACAGCTAATATACTCAAGGTAAAACACTGAAAATCTCTTCCTAAGATCAGAAGGAAGATAAGGATGCTTGAGTGTACCACTGGAATTTATGTCCTGGGAGGATTAAGCAGACAAGAAAAAGTTATGGTAGACAAGAAAAAGAAATGGTAGAAATTCCAAAGAATCTAGAAGATAAGAAATTCCAAAGTATCTAGAAGACAGCTATGGAAGCTAGTAAATTAATTTGAGTAACCAGGGTACAAGTTTACATACACACACACAAAATCATTGTATTTTTATATACCCAGTAATGGATAATCCAAGAAGGAAATTGAGAAACCTATTAAAATAATATCTAAAACAAAATATCAGGAAAAATTTAACAAAAGTATTTCAAGGGGCTGGGAAGGTGCCTCAGTGGTAGAGCGCTTGCCTTGTAAGCCTGAGGCCCTGGGTTCGATTCCTTAGCACCATATAAGCAAAAAGGAAAAAAAAGCCGGACGTGGCGCTGTGGCTCAAGTGGTAGAGCACTAGCCTTGAGCTGAAGAGCTGAGGAACAGCGCCCAGGCCCAGAGTTCAGGCCCCACAACTGGACCCAAAAAAAAAAAAAAAAAAAATTTCAAGACCTCGTACACCAAAAACATAAAACACTGTAGAACAATTTGAATTTTAGTATCTGTACAAAAAGCCATATTAGAACATTGCAACACAAATTTGTATTACTTATAGCTGCTTTTGTCCTGTAATGGCAGACTTGAGTAGTTGGCAACAGGAATTATATGGTTCACAAGCTTAAAATTTTACTGAGAGGAAGTGGCGCTGTAGCTCAAGTGGTAGAGCGCTCGCCTTGAGTTGAAGAGCTGAGGGACAACGCCCAGGCCCAGAGTTCAAGCCCCACGACCGACAAAAAAAAAAAAAAAAAAAAATTTACTGAGAATTTTGGCAGCTTCTGCGTCAAATAATTGATAGTGGGGGGGGTGGGGAAGGGAAAGGATAGTGGGAGAACATTACAAGGGAGGGGGTAATAACATTGCTCGACAAGAAATGTACTCATTTCCTTACTTATATAATTGTAACCCTTCTGTACAGTATCTTTACAGTTAAATAAAATTTTTAAAAAGTAATAATAGCTCATTTATATACAAATATATAGCTACTACTATTTAAAAAAGAAATTATAGCCTAATAACAGAATTATACTTTTCTTTTTAAGATTGAAGACCCACTAGCAATTCTTATTCTCTTTGATGAAGCCAGATACAATTTACTGAAGGGCTTTTATACAGCTCCTGATGCTAAACTGATAACTTTGGCAAGTCTCTTGTTGCAAATAGTTTATGGAAATTATGAGAGTAAGAAACATAAACAAGGTTTCCTAAAGTAAGTATTTAGTACAATGCATAATCTTGTGCTATGTTCAAAATTTACCCAGAAAGTTTTAAAATATTGTTACAGAATATTTTTATATTGGTAGCCAAGGATGTTGGTACATGAGGCCATGTTGGTACATGAGGATGCCATGTTTGGGGCTAGCCTATGGGGCTGCATAGCGAGACCCTGTGTGTCTGAACAAAAAAAAAAAAAATTATTTTTGGACATTGGTTTGCAAAAAATACAAGGCATAGAATGAGATTAAAAAAAATAAAAACTAATGCAATAAAGCATTCTTAAAAGTTTTTTTTCGAAGTTCTTGTTAAGTCTAATATACTTCATCTCTTTTTCTTTAATTTGTATTTCTTTAGAGGATGTTCAATGTAGTTTAATAAATTTGATTCTTAAATCTTGATTAAGTAAAAGAAAAACTATAAAATTTTTATAAGGCACATACTTAAGAATCTCACTATATAAATAATAGAATGAGAGAAAACACAGATTTTAACACATCTAAAGTTTATTGTAGTTCTCAATCTTCAAAAATTTGATTAATGAAAGAAGAAAATATTTCTCTACCATGACAATGTTAAGATTGTAGTTGTTTTTTTAACTCAAAAGTTCTTAAGTTCTCTAATATTTTAAGTAGTGTTTTCAGTTTAAAAATTCTATTCCCTACAATGATTTGTGACAGAAGGAATATTGTACTTTAGCTACTAAAGATGGCTTCTTTAAAGAATGTTGGCATATGTGCTTACAGTGAAGAAAATCTGAAATCCATTGTACCAGTTACCAAACTGAAAAGTAAGGCACCTCACTGGACAAATCGAATTCTTCATGAGTATAAGGTAAGCAGTTCAATGAACTAAAGACATTGTAGGACCTAATTTATATTTTTAGTGCTATTATTATTATTATTATTATATTTTTTAGGTACTAGAATTTGAACTCAGGGCCTCATGTTTGCTAGGCAGTCAGTTTACCACTTGAGCCACACCTCAACCTTTTTTTGCTTTAGTTACCTTTCAAATAGTCTTGCTTTTTTATCAAGCTGTCTTGGACCAAGATCTTCCTATGTTATTCTTCCTATTTACCTGGGATGGCAAGTATGCGTCATTATGTGCACTGGTTAAGATAGGGGTCTTTTGTAGACTTTTTGACCAGACTGACCTCAAACCATGATCCTTATTCTCAGCTTCCCTAGTAATTGTCATTACAAGTTTAAGCCACCATGCTTGGCTTAGTATTATGAATGTTGTAAACATGGGTACATTAAATTCATAGTCCTGAAATTAAAATTAGATTTTCTACTTTGCAATGACTGAAACTGATAGTAAATATTTTTATTAGGACTAGAGACCCCCACCACCACCACTCTCTTACTGGCTTTTTTGCTCATGGTAGCATTGTACCCTGTGAACTACATCTCCAGCTTAGAGATTGGCTTTCTGCTGGCTAATTGGAATTGGAGTTTCATTGTCTTTTTGTTCAGAGCAACCTTAAACTTGGATCCTCCAGATTTCAGTCTCTTGAGTAGTAGGATGACATATATGAGTACTGACAACCCATTGTAATGTGGAATCCTTTACCAAATGTCTTCTATATAATAAAAAACTGTCATAAGGGCTGAGAGATGAAAATTTGAAATAATATACTATCCCTGATCATGAGACACTTAAAATCTAATAAAATAGACATAATAGTTTTAGACCTCAATTTTATTTTTGAAATATCTCACAAAAATAGAAATGCTTTGGGTTGCTATGAACACACACACACACACATACACACACAATCCCAGGAGGCAAGTTAGGAGGATCTTAGTTCAAAGACAGCCCAGAGCAAAACAGCAAGATCCTTTCTCAAATAACAACTTTGATGTGGCTCTACATACCTATGATCCCAGCTACAAAGGAGGTATAGGTAAGAGTATCTCAATTTGAGGCAGCTCTGGACCAAAGCAGGAGTCCCTGTCTGAAAAATACAGGGCTAGAGATGTGATTTAAGTGGTAGAGCACTTTCCTAGTAAGCTTGAAGCTCTGGGTTCCATCCCCTGTGTCACAAAAAGGAAATAAGAAAATATTGTTGGGATATTGTGCCATAATTTCATTCTTTAAAGATAACCTTAGTTTTAGAATTCACTTAGTTGACCTAATTTGGATGACCAAAGGTATAATTCTCCTTTCAGTTCTTTTATTTTGCCTTATTTGTTTTCAGAATCTAAGTACAAGTGAGGGTGTCAGTAAAGAAATGCATCACCTGCAACGCATGTTCTTACAGAATTGTTGGGAAATTCCTACATATGGAGCAGCCTTTTTCACAGGACAGATATTTACCAAGGCAAGCCCCAGCAATCATAAAGTAATCCCTGTGTATGTAGGAGTGAATATAAAAGGGCTTCATCTCCTCAACATGGAAACAAAGGTAGATTTTTTTCAGCTATTTTTGACCAGTCATGTCATGAAATACTAAAATAACAGTCTCAGCGTACATGAAGAATATAGAAATGGAATGTATATAGGACTGTTTATTCTAATTTCAGTGCAAAAGATAAGAGGAAAATTTTTTAAATGACTCTGAGGAGAACTATAGATTATGACCTATTATAATGCATTTCTGCAGTGGAATAGCTTCTAGCCATACAAAAGACCTAGTAATATTTTTGTGTAGCATGTTTATAAGATATATTTAATGAGCAGGGTACTGAACCTCATATAACGTGTTATTAGTAAACACACACACACAAACACTAAGAACTGAAGACTTTACATAAATATATACTTCTTGTAATATAAATAATCTTTTAAACTTTAGAGGAGAAAAGTAAGCAGGCACTGGAGTTAAAAGGAAGACTTTTCACAATATACCCATCTTAGTTCTATAACAGAGCACCATGAACTAAAATTTGATTATCAGTTAAAGAAGTTGGAAGTCTGAAATCAGACATGAGTATGGTCAAGTTCTTATGAAGGCCTTCTGGGTTGCAGACTGCTGACTTCTTATTGTTCTTCACATGGTGGAAAATAAGACAGAGCTCTGTGGGGCCTCTCTGTAAGCCTCACTTCCTAATAGCATACTACATTTTTGGGAATAGGAGTTTCAACATAGGAATTGGAGAAAGGACAGAAACAGTTAAAAGCTTTTTGTAACATAGAAATTTTAACTGTAGAATTACCTGTTTTAAATATCCATTAAATGAAAGAAATGATAGGTGGTGCATACCTGTAATTCTAGCACCCAGGACATGCTGAGTTAGGAGGAGCACATGTTTGAGCCCATCCTGGGTTACCTAGTGAGTTCAAGGTTAGCCTATGCTACATAGTGAGATCCTGCATCCTGGAAAGAGTGAGAGGAGGAGGGGAGGGAGACTTAAGAAAAATTCAACATCCCTTCATTTAAAAAATTAGGATTTAGCTATGAGAAGCTTTTGGAAGATAGGATTTAGTGTTGAAGGGATTATGACTGTTCATTTGAATACATGTTTTGCATTTCACGTAACTTTTATGTATATATGTGTTAGTACTGAGACTTGAACTAAAGGCTTGGGTGCCCTTACCTTATTCACTCAAGGATGACACTCATCACTTGAACTCCAGCTCCACTTCCTGCATTTTGATGTTAAATGGAGATAACCCCTGGCTTTGATCTGTGATCCTCAGATCTCAGCCTCCTGAGTAGCTAGGATTAAAGGACTAAGCCAGCAGTACCTTGCTAATTAGCTAGGATTGCAGGTATGAACCACAGGCATCTAGCTGCATTTAGATACTTTAAATAAAGTTTTATAATGAAAACCATTATGTTCAGATCTGACTAGGTAACTATAGAAAATTAGCCATTAATTTTAATGTTATATTTTAATATAACATTTGCTAATTGTATCACAGGCTTTACTCATCAGTCTTAAGTATGGCTGTTTCATGTGGCAGTTGGGAGATGCTGATACTTGTTTTCAGATCCATAGTATGGAAAATAAAATGAGCTTTATAGTACACACAAAGCAGGTATGTATACTACTGTATTATTAATGTTACTTCTTGCTAAAAAGTGAGACTGGCTAGGTGCTGGTGGCTCACACCTGTAATCCTAGCTACTCAGGAGGCTAAGATCACAGTTCAAAGCCAGCCTGAGCAGAAAAATCTGCACAACTCCATCTCCAATTAATCATCAAAAAGCTGGGCTGGAGGCATTGTTCAAGTGTAAAGTGACAGCCATGAGTGAGCAATCTGAGTGAGAGCTAGAAGCTCTGAATTCAAGCCTAAATACTAGCAAAGAAAGGAAGAAAAAGAGGGGAAGGGGGACAGCCATTTAAATTTCAGGGAAACCTCTAGTAGAAAAATTTAAGTACCTTAAGACAAAGGAAAAATGGAAGACCTCTACTAAGCAAGGAAAGAAAGTTGAATAATTTCTGGGTTTTTGTTTTGTTTTTGTCCGTTGTGGGGCTTGAACTCAGGACCTGGGCGCTGACCATGAGCTTTTGTGCTCAGGCTAAGGCTTTATCGATTAAGAGCCACAGCGCCATTTCTTGCTTTGGGGTGGATAATTGGAGATAAGAGTATCATGAACTTTTCTGCTCGGGCTGTCTTTAAGCCACAATCCTTTGATCTCAGCCTCCTGAGTAGCTAGGATTAGAGGCATGAGCCACCAGTGCCTAGCTAAATTGTTTTAGACAAATTCTTATACCATTTCTTTTCATTCTGATCTGTTATTCTCTCTCTCTTCCAAGATGGGAATTAGGTAGTCCTTTTGATTTCTGTCTGAACAACTAGTTCTATGTAGCAGGCTACTTCTTAAATCTTTCCAAAAACCCGGAATGATTATTCCTCTGTACCCAAATTGCTTCCTATTAACAAAGTTCCTTCTCAAATAGATATTGCCCACTGCAATGTATGTTTTTTAAATTTCCCTATGTTCATATTTACTGTTAACATATATATTACTTTCTAGGCTGGTCTGGTGGTAAAACTGCTAATGAAGTTAAATGGACAATTAATGCCTACTGAAAGAAATTCATGAAAGGAAAATAGCTGGTATCCAAGCTACCACATTGTGAAATGCAGAATTTTTTCCATGAAAGATTTCTTAAAATATGTTTGCAAGGCATTTGTTTTCCTATAATATATGTGTGTACTATTACATTGTACAGAATCTGTACTTACCCTTGGTGTGTAATATACCAAATCGTTTTATATGATATTATCATAAGCTATTCTAATTTTTGAGAGAAACACATAAAACTATAGGTTGGCAGTCTGTATACTTGTAGACAAAATAGTAAAGCTTTATAAAAAGTTATTTTTTTGGTAAATGGTAAAGAATTTGGAGTGCAATGTGATGAAATTAAAATGTAGCTTTGGTATAACTGTTATTTTAAAGAATACTTAAAGTCAACATTATTTGAATAAAGAAAATGTATTTTCTACTTGGGCCATATATCATGGTTATTCAAAACATCTTTCCATAGTCTATAACATTTCTTAACATGTTTTATAAAATTCTTGATTAAAATGTGTTTATAGCATAAGACAGTGTTTCTCAAAGTATTGTTCTTGAAACTCTGACCTAATTATTACAAAAAGGTAGATCTCAGACATTCCTTCTAAACAAGTTCATGCATTCTCTGGAAGTAGCAGGAACTGGATACTACAGTTTGGAGGTCTATTTTGTTTTCTTTGGAGATAATTCCAGACTCATTAAGGAGATATCAAAGTTCAGAAGTTATACCATTGCTTGTGACATACAAGCACACAAGTACATGTTTTATGTAACAATCTGGGTATCAGTAGTTGTACTTATGAAGTACACAGTGTATTTTTACAGCTTGAGATCTTATATTGCCTTTACATTGTAGGAAGTAGGTCACCAAATGCCAGTTTCATTCTTCATCTATGAGCCAACTTGATGAAAGTGCTATTTAATAATCTAGAAGCTACAAGCTTTCCAGATTATTGGTCTGATATGTTCTAAGTTTGGAGATTATTAAGCATATTGGAAGTTTTCCAACAAATTACAAATAATTTTTAAATTTTATTTTCTACTCTTCACTTTAACTCTGCTTAGTTGTAATGGTACTGTATCTAAGCTTTATTAAAATTTAGATTATATGGGAAGATTAACAAGAAATCTTGATTTATCTTTAATTCTGCACTTGGCAACTTCAGTTCTATATTTAAAAAAAAAAAAAAAAAAACCCTCCCTCATCGGTGTCATCTGTTCCAGCGCCTCATAGTTAACAAATACTCCCTAAACCTAAAATTTGACTCTCCAAGCTTAAAATTTCAGCTTCCTCCTCTCTCTCAACTTTAGAACTTAATTCCAAGTTGCTGTTATTCTAACCCCACATATAAAGCCTCAAGGAGCTGCAGGAATTTGAAGTGTTACAAGCCAAGGGAAAGATGGAAAGGAGTTGAACTGAGGTGGTTGTAGTACCAGGAAGGAAGGAAGCCAATGGAAAAGGTCTCGCAAGATATTTGATAACATGATCAACACGTATAGGCTGAGAAAAGAGAGAAAAGCTGAAGACCACTTCAGTATGTCTAGGCTAAACAACTAAATGAAATCTGACATTACCCTTAACCAAGTAGGAAATATAGTGCATAGATATAATGGCACAAACAGGAAACATCATATACATGATGAAAGCAAAGTTCCTTGAAGCTTGGGTTTGGGACAGCAAAACAGGAATCATTCTCCCATTTGGTTAAACAATAATAGCTAGCATTAAAACATGTCAGATACTGTCTGAGGCCCTTGGGGGTATATGAGTTCATTTTAGTCCTGTTTTAAAAATAAAGTAGAAGTTGCCAAAGTATAGCTAACACAAATGATGGAGCTGAGATTCATGTCTAGGCAGTCAGGCTCCAGAGTATTAAGTGAATCAGAAACAGGATTTAGTAAAGGTATGAAGTCCTAATATTTCAAAAGTCCATAACTGATATATATGTTTCCATTTTACATATTGTATAATTTTAAATATAATTGTATATGGGCAGGCTATGTTACTTGTACAAGATGAAAAAAAAAAAACTAAGAACTCAGAGTCTGGGAGTCTGGCTTTGTATTTGGACATTAGATAAACAAAGGTAGCAGGAGAATTTGAGAAGACTAAAAAGACCAGACCTTGAAAAGTGCTGTGTTCACTGCTGTTGAGTAGTCCCTGGAGCTTCTGGTCCCAGACTCAGTGCAGTTTGTTGAAAGATGCCCCAGGGACAGTACAGTGTGATAGCTCTGAGCAAGGTTGTGTAAAGCATCTAACCTCAGATGACATTGATGGGTAGAAATGAAATGACATTTTGACAAATCCAGTGACCCTTCAGATTTGGAAATAAGGAAGAGGTCAGAGCATGAACAAATAGCCAAAGATAGTAATGGAGGAGGTTTTGAAAAACTTGTGCCTGGTGATGTGCAGTAGGCATCAAAATCTCCAGATCTGCAGCTCCAACGGCCCTGTAGGAGGTAGCCATTATAACTCCAGAGCACAGAGCAGAATCCCAACATTTGAGTAATATATAAAGGTGAAAGGAATCACAAAGCATCCTGGCAGGATAAGTGGATAATGATAGAAAAAGAAACAGCTTGGTACCATAGCATATACTATAGATCCAGTAGACTAAAGGAAGATACTGAAATAGTCCTCATTATCACTAGGGAGAAAATATTGTCAGCACATTCATTTTTGGAATTTATTTATTTATTTTTGGGTCTGGTCATGGGGCTTGAACTCTGGGCCTGGGCACTGTCCCTCAGCTCTTCAGCTCAAGGCTAGTGCTCTACCACTTGAGCTACAGCGCCACTTCCGGCTTTTTTCTTTTTGCTTATGTGGTGCTGAGGAATCGAACCCAGGGTCTCATGCATGCAAGGCAAGTGCTCTACCACTGAGCCAGCCCCTTCCCAGCCCCTGGAGTTTTTTTAAATAGGAATAGAAGAATTTAAATGCTTTTTTAGTTGTACACATAAGAAAAGTAAATGATTCAGGGTTTGGATATCTACTCTGGAATCAACATTCAATTCCCAAGTATTTATCCCAAACAAATACTGCTGTTTGCACATAAGCTGTATAGCAAATAGTTTATGGACTGCATTGTTATCATTATGTAAAGAATTTACTCATAATTGACTCAAACTGGAAACAATATAAAAGGTCTTCAGTGAGTGTATAACAGGTACATCCACACAATGGAATATTAACAAGAAAAAAGGAATAAACTATTGAACAATATAGATGAACTACTTTAATGAGGCTCTTTTTGGTGTTTATGTTAGCAAAGATTAATATTTGTATAAGTATAAAGGCACTATAGCATTTACTTTAGATGACATCCTGAAAAGACAAAACTGTAAAATCTGAAAGCAAACAGCTTTTACTAGAGATTAGAGATGAGAGAGATTATAAATATATAAAGAGGGCAGTGTGAAGGAATTAGGAGTAGGGAGGGGTATTCTACAGGTGAAATATTAAAAATACTTGTCATCTAATAGAAACTTAGAACAGATACATCAATGCCCAAATTCCACTTAATTTATAGTCAAAGCTAGAAATTACCTGGAAGTGCAGCCAACCTTCAAAAATGGAGAAATGCATTTTTTTGTACTTAGAAACAGCAAAAGTTAATCACAATAATTAAAAATAAATAATCTGTGGGAAGATGTTTTGAAAGTCAGTTCAGTCTGGCAAAGCAATCTAGTAACTGTTCACTCCCTTTAGCCTGAGGATTACACTTGAATAGAACCTAAGGATGAGACACCTAAACCCTACATCCCACTCACAATTTCCCCTTCTTCTGTAGAGAGAAAACAGTTCCATTTCAACACGAAAACACAATGATAGTCTTTAAGCAGTATGGTTAAAAAAAAAAAAAAACAGTTAAAATTGGGCTGGAGAGCCAGGCGCAGGTGGCTCACACCTGTAATCCTAGCTACTCAGGAGGCTGAGATCTGAGGATTGCGGTTCAAAGCCAGCCTGGACAGGAAAGTCCATGAGACTCTTATCTCCAATAAACTACTAGAAACCAGAAGTGGCACTGTGGCTCATGAGGTAGTGCACTATCCTTGAGCTGAAGAGCTGAAGGACAGCACCCAGGCCCAGAGTTCAAGCCCCACTACTGACAAAAAAAAATTGGGCTGGAGACATGGATCCAGAGATAAAGCACCTGCCTAGTTAGTGTGAGGCATAGAGTTTTCAATCACCAGTGTCACCAAAAAGATAGGTTCCTTGATTTTGCCTGGGCTGGCCTTGGACTGTAATCCTATCTGTCTCCTAGGTAACTGGGATTACATACATACATCATCATGTCCAGCTTGTTTTTTGAGATGCTCACTAATATTTTTACAAGGCTAGCCTCAAACCTCCACTTCCAATCTCTGTCCACAAACAGCTGGTATTTTGAATATATGTATGTGTATTTCAATAGCATGCATTTTCAATACATATATAGATATACACATATATAATTACATGATATATGTTTTTATTTATTTTTTATTTTTGTCGGTTGTGTGCCCTGGGCACTGTCCCTCAGCTTCAGCTCAAGACTAGTGCTCTACCACTTGAGACACAGTGCCACTTCTGGCTTTTTCTGCTAATGTGGTGCTGAGGAATTGAACCCAGGTCCTCATGCCTGCAAGACAAGCACTCTACCACTAAGTCACCTTCCCAGCCCCTATTTTCATTATATTTTGTAAATGCTGTGTTTGTATTGACACACTAATAGGACAGTGGAAGAGAAAAAATCTTAAATGATAAATGATAAATTGCCTGCCATGATGAATAAACAATTCTTGAAGACCTGAGTTAAATGTGTCATTTTTCATTGTTTGCTTTCAATTAATACTGGATTTAGTTTTTCACACATAAATACTAATGAGGAAAATTCAGCCTACAATTCTAGCTCAGCTAGTTTTTACTAACAATTAACTGTATATAGTTAAAAGTTAGGTCTTATCTGAACTGTGGCTTATATGTCATTTAAATTTTTTAAATTTATGGATGGCTACTTACCATATATTTTATGCTATATAATCATTTGAAAGCAAGATTTTCCTGAATACAATAAAAGTAATAACACCCTCATTTTTCATAATCAAGCATTAAAATGAGTGGTGAAACAAACTTTCTTGTTTAAGAAAAATACACAAACAGAACATTTCCAAGATAAACACTGTTATAGGAGCTACCATAACCAATGTTTTTCAACTTCAACAATACTTAGGTAAAGATAATCCTAACCTGCTATCTAATGTGGAGTTTACATTGCAACCCGAATGTTAGTACTTAATCTTTTTTTTTTTTTTTTTTTTGCCAGTCCTGGTGCCTGAAATCAGGGCCTGGGCACAGTCCCTGAGCTGCTTTTGCTCAAGGCTAACACTCTACCACTTGAGCCACTGTGCCATTTCGTGCTTTTTCTGTTTATGTGGTACTGAGGAATCGAACCCAGGGCATCATGCACGTAGGTACTCTACCACTCTACCACTAAGCCACATTCCCAGCCCCTAGTATTTAATCTTTCTAAAGGAAAGTAAAATTAGAA